ACCGCTGCTATGTGGCATCGTACTCGGCGATCGGCAAGCCCCAGGGGGCTCGCAACCGAAGGCCACCTTGGCAAACAGGTCACTCCTGGGAGGAGACCACAGGTACCCATACCGCTACTCCCTGGACCTCTCCTGGGGCACGTTCTGAACAGAACTTCTACGCGAATCCGGCGGTGGCGACGAGGGCCTCCGAGGAGGCCCCCGAGGGCGAAAGCGAGGGAAGGGCAGCGGTAGGGGCAGCTTCTCCTCCTCCGACCTTGCGCGCGGCCGATTCGCGGGACCCCGGGGGACCGGCTCGCCGCCGCCAGGCTGTACTAAACGGGGGCGGCGGCGCGTCGAATTGGCACTAGAGGGGGGCGCGGCGCGCCGAATTTTCGCGGGGGCCGCGGCCGGGGGCCTGCGGGGAAGCATCCTCCCTCCCTCCTCAAAGTCTCCTCCTACCACTTTTTTATTATTATGATTATTTCTCACATGTTTCGTGGGGTTCTGGTTTTCTTCCCTGCCGCGCCGCACCCGCGTCTCACACCTCCCCCCTCCCCTTCTCCTTCTCCCACAGCACAGCACAACACCGCACAGCACGGCACGGCACAGAACAGCTCACCGCACAGCAGCACAGCACAGCACAGCACAGCACAGCACACCATAGCACACAGGGCATTCCTTCGACGCCACAGGGGGTGGGGGTGCGCAGAGGGTGGTCTCTCAGCGCGGCCTCTATCCGTGACACGCTCGCAGGGCGTGGCAGGCGTGGCACTTTCTCGACACCACAGGGGGTGCGCAGAAGGTGGTCCCTCAGCGCGGCCTCTATCCGTGACACGCTCGCAGATCGTGTCAGGAGTGGCACTTTCTCGACGCCACAGGGGGTGCGCAGAGGGTGGTCTCTCAGCGCGGCCTCTATCCGTGACACGCTCGCAGATCGTGTCAGGAGTGGCACTTTCTCGGCACCACAGGGGGTGCGCAGAGGGTGGTCCCTCAGCGCGGCCTCTATCCGTGACACGCTCGCAGATCGTGGCAGGAGTGGCACTTTCTCGACACCACGTGCGCAGAGGGTGGTCCCTCAGCGCGGCCTCTATCCGTGACGCTCGCAGATCGTGGCAGGAGTGGCACTTTCTCGACACCACAGGGGTGCGCAGAGGGTGGTCCCTCAGCGCGGCCTCTATCCGTGACACACGCTCGCAGATCGTGGCAGGCAGTGGCACTTTCTCGACGCCACAGGGGGTGCGCAGAGGGTGGGTCCCTCAGCGCGGCCTCTATCCGTGACACGCTCGCAGATCGTGGCAGGAGTGGCACTTTCTCGACGCCACAGGGGGTGCGCAGAGGGTGGTGGTCCCTCAGCGCGGCCTCTATCCGTGACACGCTCGCAGATCGTGGCAGGAGTGGCACTTGCTCGACACCACAGGGGGTGCGCAGAGGGTGGTCCCTCAGCGCGGCCTCTATCCGTGACACGCTCGCAGATCTTGGCAGGAGTGGCACTTTCTCGACACCACAGGGGGTGCGCAGAGGGTGGTCCCTCAGCGCGGCCTCTATCCGTGACACGCTCGCAGATCGTGTCAGGAGTGGCACTTTCTCGGCACCACAGGAGGTGCGCAGAGGGTGGTCCCTCAGCGCGGCCGCTATGCACGACGGTCGTCCAGGGAATAGCAGGCGTGGCACTTTCTCGACGTCATAGAGGGTGCGCAGGGGGTGGTCCCTCACCGCGGCTGCTATGCACGACGGTCGTCCAGGGCATAGCAGGCGCGGCATTTTCTCGACACCACAGAGGCTGCGCAGGGGGTGGTCCCTCACCGCGGCCGCTACGCACGACGGTCGTCCAGGGCATAGCAGGCGTGGCACTTTCTCGACACCGTCGAGGGTGCGCAAGGGGTGGTCCCTCACCGCGGCCGCTGGCTGGCTCGAATCTGTCCTCGACGGAGGATAGAAGGCTAGGAAGAGGGAGGAGGTTCAAGCAATATGGCGTTGGATGACACATAGGGCATAGGGGAACATTCGCGACGAGGGCTGAGAACGCAGAATTGCGCATATAATATAAACTTAAGCAAACACACAATATTCAAGTTAAGTATGTGGGGTTCCTCGGTAGCGTAATTATTATTATTATGATTATTATTATTATTGTTATTATTATTATTATGATTATTATTATCATTATTATTATTACTATTATTAATATTACTATTATATTCATTATCATCATTATTATTACTATTATTATTATTATTATTATTATTATTATTATCATTATCATTATCAATATTATTATTGTTATTATTATATATATATTTGTTAAACCATATTTGTTTATTTATTTTTATAATCTCCTCCTACCACGGGCAGGCTCTCGCGATCTCGGCGCCCAGGGCGGGGCGTGAAAAGTATGAATTCGGGGGCGCGAAGCGGTGCGGTGACGGGCCGTGCAGAGAGACACCGACAGTCCGAAAGGCCTCGCCGCGCGGCCCGCCACCGCGCGGCTTGGGGACCCTGGAGGCCCCACTCGCCCGAGACGTCCTCGGAGAACGACCCACCCTTGACTCCAGATCCGCCCTACTTTGGCTTTTTTTCCAACTTCAAATTGCGTCGGAAATCCACCTATAAGAGGCCGAAAAAGTAGGGCGGAAATTGCTGCACCCAACATTAAATAGGGCGGAAATCCACAGAAACAGCTACAGAAAAGTAAGGCGGAAATTGGCATCAGCGGGGCTTGAAAAGTAAGGCGGAAATTCCAAGCCCTACTTACGAATCTCCCCAAAGTAGGGCGGATCCGGAGTCAGGGACGTCCCCAGACCGTGCTGTCACTCGGGCGGGTGGTAATGGGGGGTGACCCAAATGGGGGGCGAAGAAAAGGGCCCTGACGGGGCACTTTAGGGCTCCTTTTGGGCCCAAGTGCTTCTTTGGGCCCCTTTTCTTCACGCCCCATTTGGGTCACCCCCCCATTGCCACCCGCCAGAGTCACCCCGGATCCCCACTGGCTCACCACACGGTGCGGTCACCGCACCGTTTGGGGCCCCCCGAGTCACGACCCGCAACGAAGGACTGGTTCTCCCAGGAGTGAACGGGGTCGAGAGCTAGAGTGAGGCCAAGCCCGCTGCGAGAATAACGACGTCGAAGGTTTAGGTCGGGCATGTCCTCCTACAGGCCAGTTTTGGAAGAAAAGTAACAAAGAGCCAAACAATAATAAAAAATAATCGACAAATCGTCCACGCTCTATTTCTTGACTATTCTCGAAAATTCCTCCTGCAGGACACGCCCGACTGAATCATAAGTCTGGGTCCACCGCACATCTCACCCTCCCGGAGATCCGACGTCGCGAAAGCATGCGACATCGTGCGCCATCGCGAACAGAGACCTGGACACAATCTTTCTGCGGCACTCCTCGAGCCGGATCGATCTGCCAGGGTACTCTCCGGGCCCGGGCCCGAGCGACAGCGCCCAGTGTGAACAAAAAACCTGCGACGCGGCGCCCGAGTCTCCAGGCCCGGATCCACCGCGCACCCCCTCCTCGCCCCGTAGCCCTCCCTGGGTGCCCAGACATCCGGCCACAAGGCTTGTTCAATCCGGGCCCCCCGACCCCCCGAACCCCTCCCCGGATGCAGGTTCCTGTCCCGGCCCATTCTTGATGGCCCTGGAGCCCCAGGGGCCGAACTCGAGGAAACACGCGGGTATCGAGCACTTTGTGCTTTGCTTGTCTGTCTGTTCTGCTTTTCCTCGGCGGCTGGGCAGGGGTCGTCTGCGCTGGCGGGTCGAACGAACTAAACGGGGACACCGTTGTAGCGAATTGGCCAGCATGCAAGCACTGGAACACGGGACAGAGCGGGCGGCCGCGGAGGGGGGAGGAAGGGCGAGGGCCACTCAGGGGGGACGAGTCACTTCCCCGAGGAGCTGGCGCGGCTGGCCCCGCTGGGCGGGCATCGAACAAATCTGATCGTCGGAGGTCCGGGAGTACAGTCATCGGCCTGACCTAAGGAACGATCAATAAGGAACGAAGCCCCTGTTTTCCAAGGAAAAAGGCAGAAGGAACGATACATAATAAAGAAAAGCGCATAAGGAAGGATACGTAACGCATGCAAGCCTTAAGGAACGACCGAGCCCCTTTTGAAAAGTAAGTGCTCCTTACTCAAGCCGCTCACTGCACCCCCGCCCAAAGAGGCCCGTGTCCTCCCAACAACAGATGCTGGCCCGAACCGACAGCGGCCGCTCTCGGGCAAGCGACCTTCTCAACCTCAGAGGGGGCACCGCCCGCGGCGGCGCCGACCACGAGTCCTGTTCCAAAATGGGCAGACTCTGCCTTTGGGTTTTGCCCCCCCGCTCGATCCCCAGACAGGAGGCTTAGACGGAAGCCAGGACGGGGACAGCATCGGGCGAGGATACATCGAGAACCTCTGAGACCTGGCGGCTCCGGAGGCTATCTCAGGCGCCGCGGCCTGTTCGGAGCCACCCGGAACGCTCTGGGACGGAGCTGTCTCTTCGCCCTGGCCCCGTCCGACAGACAGAAGGTGCCCCCGCCCAAGGATCGGGAGCGGCCAAGAGGGGGGTGTCCAAGAGGGGGGTCTGCAAATCATGACCGGCGGCATGTGCGCGGCCCAGCGGGGGGGCCAGGGACGTAAATGAAACAAGAAGAGGCGCCATGAGATCCGGGGAAATCTCATGGCCCCCGCCATGAGATCCACCCCCCCTAGTCATCACCCCCCCTCTTTTCCGCCCCTCTTTTGCACTGACCCCCGTCTCAAGGCTCCTCCTCCTCCTCCTCCTCCTCCTCCTCCTCCTCCTCCTCCTCCTCCCTCCTCCTCCTCCTCTCCTCTCCTCCTCCTCCTCCTCCTCCTCCTCCTCCTCCTCCTCCTCCTCCTCCTCCTCCTCCTCTCTCCTCCTCCTCCTCCCCCTCCTCCTCCTCCTCCTCCTCCTCCTCCTCCTCCTCCTCCTCCTCCTCCTCCTCCTCCTCCTCCTCCTCCTCCTCCTCTCGAAAGGAGGCCCGTGCCCTCAGGCCGTGCCCTGCAGCCCGGCCTGCATCATGGCGGCGACGCCGCCGCCCTGGCAGCAGGCCGCCTGGGCGCCGCGCGGCTCCTTCGGCTGCAGCAGGCTGGCGCCCCCGGGGCGCTGCGGGCGCCCCGAGGCGCCCGCGCCCGCCGCCTGGCGCCTGGCGATGAGCGAGGCGGACGCCGCCGCGAAGGCCTCCTGTGAAGGGGCCCCAGGACACACAAATAAATACACACAAATAAAAGTATTCCCAATATTTTCTGGGTTTTTGTCTTCCCCCCCCACTTCCCATATTTTCCCATATTTTCCTGGGGAATCGCCGATTAATTGTGTCTGTGTTTTTTTTTTCCCTTCCTGACTCCTGCACGTTGGTGGCCGCCTTGGCGGAGGTCTCCAGGAAGCACATGCCCAGCGCCTCGGCCTTCTTCTTCCCCTCCTCTCGAGGGCTGACGGGGCACCCTTCCGCCGAGCGCCCTCCGGTGAAGACTTCCAAGGGAACTCCACGTGCGCACGGAAATGCATCCCGAGTGGACCCGGGCAGGATACACGCGGATATCGATGTCCCAAACCAGTGAGTGTACACGGCGCAGCACACGTCGATGAAAGCAACCGACCGAGGACTGCACCCCAGTACACTCGAATGCCGAGGGTCGAGTGCCGCAGGTTCGTGCCGTGCCCACTTCTTCGGCGCTGGTCACTGACACTGCGGGGCTCGCTCAACCTGGAACGATCGGCCGCTTCCGAAGCGTCAAATCATTCAACATCGACCGATCCCGGGCCCCTGGCGGCATTCGACATTGAACGCCGGCGGCGGGGTCGCCGCCGGTCGACACGACGCGAGCTTGCAGTGAGCCGGTGCAGATTTCCGTACAGTGGAGGCAAGTCCACAAGACGCCTTCCACAAGAAATCCAACCCTGAGACCCCATGACGTCCATTGGTTTTTGGTGTGGGATCGTCAGGCTCTCAATAGAAAAACCATCGAAACCCAAGAATCCCATGGCACCCTGGAGGCAAACAGGGTGTTCCTTGGCACGTGTCTCCACTGTAGCCGACTCGTGGGCAGTGTCTCTCTATCCATGCCCGGTCCTCCGCGGCCACCTGCCTCTCCTCGGCGAGGTCGCACTTGTTGCCGATCAGGATCTTGACCGTGGAGTCGGTGACGTACCTCAGGGCTCGACCTCAACAGTGTTTTTCGTTTTCGTTTTGTTTTCGTTTTCCCTCGTTTTGTCTTGAATTCGTCTTCGGTGCAAAACGACATCGAAACGAGAACGGCCCACGAAATCGCCTAAACACCGTTTAGGTCTACCCCTGACGTACCTGTCGACCTCGGCGAGCCACTCGTCCACGTGCGCAAACGTCTCGCGGTCTGTCACGTCGTAGATCAGGACGATGCCGTCGGCGCCGCGGTAGTAGGCGCTGGTGATCGTCCGGAAGCGCTCCTGGCCCGCGGTGTCCCAAATCTGAAGCTTGATCGTCTTCTTGTCCACCGGGATCGTCTTGAAGCGGAAGTCCACCCCTATGGTCGTGATGTCCGACGCCGCGCTGCGGCAGCGGCTGGTGAATCTCCGCCCCCCTTCCTGCTTTATAACAATTCCTCCGCGTCGTGCGAGACAATCGCTGGGCCCGAACGAGAAGCATCGGGCCCAGCGCACAGCGAGGCCAGAGCGCACAATCCCAGGCGGGGTGCTCGTGGACTCCCTCCTCTCAATGGCCCCATTGAGAGGAGCTGAGCGAGGTGTTCGTGGATTCTGCCTCCCCCCAGCCCCTTGATGGGAGCTGAGGGGGGTGGACTGGCTCATAGGCGGGCCATCGACGCCTAGAATCCGCGCTGCGTCGCCGATAGAGCTTCCCCCCGTGCTGGGTGAGGCGCCGAAGCCCCGGCCGGCCACGAGCGGGCGATTTTTTGGGGCTAACGTCCCCCCCCCTCGAGCCACTGACCCCCCCCCCCTCGGCACCCCCGACCACGCCCTCCTCCGCGCCCTCCCCCTCTGTGGAGCGGAGGCGCGCGGCGGCGCGGCCGGGATAGTTCTCCGAGAACGCGTCGTCCGCGAAGCGCAGGAGCAGGGACGACTTGCCGCAGTTCGAGTCGCCGATGAGCACGAGCTTGAAGAGGTGGTCGTAGTCGCGCTTCATCGGGCGCCGGCGCGCGCGCGCGAGCAAGGGGGGGGGCTGTGGACGGCGGGCCCGGGGGAGGAGGGGCCGGGCTCGGGGCGCGGGCGGGCTGCTGCAGATGCCCTGGAGGCACAAGAGGGAGGGAGGAATATGTGGCAGGAGGGCGGCAAAATGATGGTTGCGGTGGCGGTGACGGTACTGGCAGCGGCAGCGGCGACGGTGATCGTCACGGTGATGGTGAGGATGATCTTGTGAATGATGCTGCTGCTTTTGAGGAGGGTGAGGGTGAGGGTGAGGGTGAGGATGATGATGGAGAGAGAGAGAGAGAGAGAGAGAGAGAGAAAAAGAAAAAGAGAGAGAGAGCGCGAGAACAGGGGGAGTAGGAGGAGGGGGAGGAGGTGGAGGAGGAGGAGGGGGAGGAGGAGGAGGAGGAGGAGAGGAGGCCGAGGCCGAGGGGGAGGGCCTCTGCCAACACTCCCCCAAGGTTTGCCAATTCTTGGTGAGGCTGGAGCAAAATGCTGTTCCCACGTGTAACATTCAGAGACTTGCTTTTGACTGCTTTGTTCCAATAGTACATGGTCGACAGAACCCTTGGCAGGCAAACACCCGGCTTTCAAATCTACAACGCTGGCGCCTTCGGAAAGGCTTCCGCAACCCTTACATAAACTCAGGATCCCAATCAGGTGCTCAATCGCTTCAATTTTTGCCCATCTGATCATGCAACAAGGCCCTAACACTTAGAGAAACACCAACACATCTCTCACGATGAGGATGGTGGGGAGGGAGAAGGGGGAAACGGTAGCGGAGCGAGGGCCACACCCTTGATTAGCTGCTTTGCTTTTGGCAGTGGAAGCACGGCCAACAATTTGCATTTATCCGCCATTATCCACCTTCATCCGTGTTACTGCTCCACAGCCTGGGAGCCAGAGAAGGATGAGGAGGAGGCAGAGGTGGACGTGGGGGGGGGCTCCACTGTTCTGCCGTGGTGGCATCAGGCTGCTTTTTCATCCTCTGACGACGTGGTGGGTGCTCTGGGGCATGCGGTCTGAGCACGTCGATGAGGCAGCTTTCATTCCCTTGAACTCGCGTCGGCCAACAAAGAAACACCACAAGGAACGGCCAACAAAACTGCGTGAGGTCGGTCGGTACTCTGAGTCTCCCAAGCTTGTACTTCGGCCGGACTGGGGCCACCATGCAAGAGAGCGCCTGCTTGTGCAACTGCGGCAACTTCTTGGTTGCCTCTGGCCTGCGTCCGACCTGGTGAAAGATATGCTAACGAATCAAGGTCTACATGGGCCTTCCCACATGTTACTACCTGTGCGATGGCGTTTGCCGATTGAGATTCGAACGCCCTGTCTTTCCATGCACCTCGGCTGCAGTCTTAGCCTTGGGGAGGTGCGGTCACGGCAAGTGCTGCATCGTGCTTCCCAGCTGGGGGTATTTTTGCAGGAGTCGAGCCCCGACCCCCCACACATTTATATAATAAGGCTCCTTCTGGGGACATCTAAGAAACATCCCCAGCCTGCCCTGTGATACTGCTTAGCTCCATCGTTCAAACAGGAGCTATCAGTGAAGACCTCTTCTTGGAAGACGTCCTGGATGTTGGCTCCTGGGCTAGTCCAAGTCTGGAACAATCTATGACGGGGAGGAGAATAAGGATGGTTGATGTGGACATGCTTGATTTTTATGGAGAACAATTTCTTGCGAATGGGAAGCCTGGGCAACCTGGCCCAAGGGCGGACAGGGATCCTGGGCAACCTGCCCATGTACTCAAGGATGTTGTATTATTCTGCTACCTTCTCCAGTTCCGTAGTGCATCCTGGCAGAAACTGGTTGCGATGAGGCTGCGTCGTATCTGCTGTCTCTTGCTGCAGCTTCAGTGGTACCAACGTCGTCCACTCTGCTCTTGCAGACTTAGTTTCTTGCAGCTGGCGCGATGGTGTGCTTGCTTGTGCCAACCATGCGTTTCTCGCTCGAGGCAAGCTTGCCTCGAACCGAAGAGCTGTGACTCCCAATCGATGTGATGCTGCAGCCGTCCCAGGATTGCCTGCCGATGTTCATGCCACGAGCCGCGGAGGGGGCTGCCTCTCCTTGGCTCTCACCTGCGGCGTGCTCGTGAAATCGGCCGCGACCTCATCGGTCTGGAACGTCCCCCATCGTGTCCTTCTCCCCAGCATCGTCCACATCCTGCATCTCCTCCATCTCTTTTTTTCCTACATATCCTCCATACGTCTCCGCTGTTTTTTTTATATCTTACGTCTGCACCATCTGCTCCGAGGCGTCCTCGCACTTGTCCTCGATATCCACCCGCCCCGCTGGGGATGCAAGGCCGTGAAGCGTGCTGCTGGACTGCTCTCTTGTCCTCTTTGTCGTCTCTTACTTCTGCCTCTTTTCTCTCCGGTCCTGTCTCCTTTCTTCTGTCTGCCAAGGGCCCCGACCGTTCAGCAACAAACACCTTTGGGGAGTGTCCCTCAACCACCTGGCCGCCGTGGTTTGCCCCCAAGATCCCCATGAGGACGCCACCAGACGGCCAGGCGGGCCTAAGAGGCCTCCAGGACGGGCCCAAACAGAGCCTCAAGAACCGTTCCGATGTCGACTTCGATCACGATGATCTGGTTTTGCACTGCGGCCACGCGCCGCCGCTCTCTGCTGTCTCGCACGCGCTGACTCCAGCGCACTGTTTTTTTTTTTTTTTTTTTTTTTTTTTTTTTTTTTTTTTTTTTCACACGCGGGCTCACTCGAGCCAGCCTCTGAAGCCGAACTGGTTCGAGCCAAAGAGGGCCGCACAGGCTCCAGGAATCCGAACGCAACGCTGGGGGACCAACTGTGGGCCACTGGAATCAACATAGCATTCACTCTGGCACCTGGTGTAGGAGATTGGCCTGAATATGCCTCCCAAGCAGGTGAAGGTATCTCATCTACCTTTCTCAGCGAGCTCAGGGACATAGCAACCGTCGCAACTCAAACGCACCATGCACTAGCATAGACGCTGACACTTTGCTCAACTCTCTGTACCGCCACAGAAACTCAGCCTCACGAGACACTCGAAATAATCCTCTGAATCATGCTCAGGGCCATCTCAATCTCACCTCCATCACGCTCATCGTTGTTGCTCCTCTCGGGCACTTCGATGCCCGCGCGCCTCCTGAACCACTCCAGCCTCTGCCTCGGGTGCACCTTGGTCCCCAGGTCGGCTGGGTTGAACAGCGTCGGGGTTGTGCCAGTCTCAAGCAGCTTCTTCTTCACGATCTGCTGCAGCCAGAGCGTGTGGGTGGCAATGTGCCGCGCGCGCCCTGCCCCCTCTCTGGCGGCGATTCCGCGCGCCGCACAGCCCCTTCGACTGGACCACCTCGTTCGCCGTGGCAGTCGCCGCATAGAACTCTGCCTCCGCACTTGAGCGAGCGATAGCTCCCTGCCTTCTCGTGCTCTTGAGCAGACTGCAACTGTTCGCCTCCACGAAGACTCTCGACTTCGACTTCTTATCTTCGTTCTGTCTGACCCCAGTCCGAGTCGCTGAAGCCACCGAGGTTGATGCTCCAGCCTTGCTCGTCCTCCTTCTTGCTCCTGGTCCACCTCGCGATAGCTCCCTCCGTGCCGGCCAGATAGCGCACGAGCCTCTTCAGCGCCTTCATGTCGAACGCTGTTGGCTTAGATATCGTGGCGGCCAGCTCCCCGACCTCGTACTGCATGTCGTTCCTGTCCAAGGACTTGCGCAGCTGCCGGCGCAGCTGCGAAAGATCTTCGAGTCCTTGCCGTCCAACTCCACGCGGTCCTCGCTGCTATTTTTGTTGACCTTGATGCCTGGAGTAGGTTGTGATCCACAACTATCCATGCCCGGCGCCTTCCTCACGCTAGTGACATACCTGGAGTTGTTCTTGAATGCGACCTCGTCTCTCGCGCAGGTCCTGCAGCGCTTCGGGTGGATATATTCCTCTCCGTGCTTGATGGGCCCGCTCGCCTTGACCGTAATGATCTGGTGCAGCTCCTGGCAGAACTCTTCAATCCTGGTCGCCTCTCCTGCCCCGTGGCCGTCGTCCATATGAATTTCGAGGAAAGTCATCCTTTGCCTTTGAATGAAGAGGTGCGGTGACCCACTGTGCCTCTCGAAGCCAAGGGACATCATGGTCTCGGCGAACCGCGCCGCGAACTCCTGCCCTGCCTTGCGGCGCCCATTGAGCTGTCGAAGTAGCCTCCACATCGCGTCGCCTGATCTGTCTTCCTCGATCTCCCTCTTGATTCTCTCCGCTGGGGGGTGCGCGTGGCACCCCGTCGCTCTCCGGCGCACTGAAGGAAGCGTTCGAGAAATCGTGGCAGAAGGTCGAGAGGAACAGCTGCATGGCGATCGAATGGGTGACCTTGCTCGTCGTCGCTGTCGAGGCCGGCGCGAACGCGTCGAACCTCTTCGCCAACTTGGCGAACACTTGCGTAACGAACCTCGCCCTCGCGATTTCTCTTCAGCCTTCCAAGTGCGATGCCACTTCGTCGCGATCACCTGCTTGCCCTTCGACGCCTCCATCGGCGCCGCCTGGGAGAGACTCCGAAGCCCTCGAGCCTCTTGATCTCTAGCTGCTTTGCCTCCTCGATCCTGTCCTCGTCCCAGGCGGGGGTCTGCTCGTCAATTGTCTCCTTATCGGAATATATCTCCTCTATGGTTTCGTTTACGCTGTCGGCGAAGTCGCCGACGGCT